TGTATACGGCGAAGGAAATAGTCCTATACTTTGTTGAACCACCAAGAAGCACCTTTGGGATGGTCATTGCTGCAACGGGTAAAGTGCTCCATACGTATTTCTATCCCCAAGCCGTTCCGTCTGAGGCCCAAGTCAGTATATGTGTTAAAACCATGGTTGAAACCGTAAACTGAAGTATTTATATTCACTGCAAAATCAGGCCCTGGTTGCCTTCCTCAACTTCTACGGGAGGCGATTTGATCCGCAGCTGGCTGCCTAGCAATGTTGCGGCGGTAGAGGGGTTACATCTGGTTACATAGGGTCATGCAGAGAAATACAGAGATCCACAGAGTTTGGCCTTTTGTGGGGAGTCCGTACAGCATAGATCATGTTGTATTCTGGGGTCTATATTGGCGCCCCCCTTAACGGACGCCTCTGTAAGCTTCATAGAAGCAATCTCAACCAAGGAATTAAAATCTTGTGGTATAGTGGTGCAGGAGGCACTCCAGCTACACACTCCTTCCGCAAGCGTTCGTGTCCAGCGGTATTCGTTGTAGGGCAGATGCCCAGAAGTTGCCGCATGTGAGTTGATTTGCCTCTGACCATGACACATATAGATATAGATCTAGGTATATTTCCTTATGCCCTGTCGGCACCCGCCATAGCGATAGCCTGAGCTTGAGGCTTTACGGAGTCAGTGTGGCGCGTGCTGCGTTCCTCAAGAGGACACCTGCGCGACAAAAAGGATTAAGCGTTAAGCCATGTTAGCTCGATTTTCGCTGCCAGAACCTGCAAGGGATGAGGGTAGATTTCGCGCTTCAGCCTTCAGCCGCCCTTGGGCATCATGCTATGTCATGCTGTGGCGCGGCTGTGTGACATCACGGGTTTCCAGCATGGTGATCACGGTCTGAACATGGCGAATTAGGGTCTCATACTACACACGCCAAAATATCAAGTCATTGTTCATTCTTTGTGCCACTGGATAGTTTGTGGGCCCTGCCAAAGTCTACCCCAGGAAGAGCCCCACCACCTGGCCACCAGAGCAGGCGGACATCCAGCTACCCGTTGATCACAGGGTTGGGATGCTTAGGCTGTTCAGGGTACCTAGGGTTTACTTGGAATGTTTAGGGTTAAGCCTTTGTTGTGCTGTTGTTTATGACTAGCGCTGTCATGGATACAGTCTGCCATTGTGGTTCCTGTCACTGTTACGGCCTCCATCCCTCATTTTTCTTCGATACGTTTGCAGAGACTGCTGCGTTGACTGTATTTACTGCTTGAGCTGCTGCGCTTGCTGCCGCTACGCATGAAGAAGTAGTATGTCAGTGTAGCTTGCCTAGAAGGCTGCTGCAGGTTAGTTGCACCGTGCTGGCCATTGCCCTGCTTACACCTTACTTGCGAAGCTTGGCATACCCTGCTTTCTTGACCTGAGGTCCCATGACCACAAATGACTGCTCACCATGTCCTAGCCGTGGTCATCATCGTTGTCGTGGTCATCGTTGTCGTGGTCATCGTTGTCGTTCGTCACTGCCTGTACCGTGAAAGCACGGGTGATCAGGCGGAACTCGTGGAGAGGGGACTGCTGCACCCTAGCAGCGCGCCGGCAGGCTCGGACCTGACATTTTCAAGAAGCCTTGTTTCGGGTGTAGGATTTGAGGGGGTTCTGACTTATACGGCTTCAGGGATTTAGGTTCACGGAGAAGGCTTCTGGGTCTAAACTTATAAAGATTTGTTGTAAACTGGTAGTGCCCTACGTTCTATGCACTTTTGCCACGCGAGTTTGCCCCCAGGCTTGGGCATCTTCCAGTCAAATTTGCAATTCTATCGATTTACAAGATGGAGGTTTCCCAAGATTAGGGGTACCCTTTTAAGGATTTTATAGTATATTGGGGTCTATATTGGGATCCCATAATTTTGGGAAACTACCAGATGTATTGCGAAATAGTGCTGAGGCATTACATATCTCGGGATGACACCTAGTTTGGCGCGGATGGCAAGGCCCCAAATGCAGAGTAACGTTCTAGTCGCATCGTAATCTCCTGGTGGCCCACAGAACCCTTTCACATCCCTAAACCCAACCCTAAACCCTAAACCTAAACCCTAAGCAAAAAAAGCCCGCACTCAAGCATAGCATGCCGCCTCTCCGCCGGCATGCTCCAGTCACCAGGCAAAGAGATCTCCGGCGAGGAGGCTCACCGCTTCGACCCCCTATGGGTCCGCCACTTGGGTTGAGGCTTCAAAGCCCGGGGGCTAGGATTTGGGAAGGGAACTTAGACTCCAGCATAGGAGACGAATTGGGATGATTAGAGGGATCCACCCTGTTGTTATTTTGTGCTGCTGTTATTTCAATACTTGTTACAGGTAGCACGACTTGGTGGTGAAGGTTTTGGGGGTAGGATTGGGGTCCAGGCCTTCATGCTAGTTTGATGCTTAGAGAGCTGGATCCTATCAAGTTGGATTCCGAGTAGGAGGATTAGTTGTTGTCCTAGATGGGGTGTTTTACCTCCTTCATACAGCAAAGATCACACGGTCCCAAGTAGAGGCTCCCAAAAGAGGTTGTATTAGAGGGGGCCCCAGCTTTAAGAACTTCCCATGTCATCTTGCGCGCCGTATTTGCCGAAGTGCTCGCTAGCATTGTGCTACTCTAGCTTGGCAGCCCGGCAGGTTCTTGTTTGTAAAGCCGTGATGGTTCCAATGTGTTCCCATCTTATGGACTCCTTTTGTTCATATCCTTCCCTGGGTCATCGCTTTTGGACTATATACCTGCATCTCGCTCTAGAATATATGTTGAATTCAGATGTCGGCAAGAAGACATGCATCAATTGGTCTTGTGGCTACTGCATGTTACTACGACCGCTATCTGTAGAAGTTGTGCTTTTTCTTGGTGCCCTACAGACAAAGCCTGAAGTAGATTTGAGCATGCCCGCCAATGAGTCTCTCACTGGGGTCTCCGTAAGCAAGTGGCCCCAATGTAGACCCCAACATGTTCTAACCTTAATGTAGGGACACCCCATCCCCCCCCCACCCACCAAAAAAAAAAAAACTGACATCTGATTTTTGGAAGCCCCCGAATCCTGAATGCAAAGCCATGGCCACGACCAAAGCGATCGCCCAAGCCGTGGTGGCAATGGCAGAGTCCCGCACCGAAGCGATGCTAAAAGAGAGCCTCTGAAGGATCCTTTGTGAAGAGCATTTTTGAGCTATAGCCTAAACTTTTAGTAGCCCCCCTTTATCACCCCTATAGTAGTCCCCTTAGTAATTTTCCCCTTTCAGGAGTCTAGATTATCGCTCATATGGGGATAGGGGACAAGAAAATAGAAACTGGTATGGGGTTTGGGGGTCGAGGTTTGGGATTTTCCCGTGATTTATAGGGAACGTGGAAAAGACAATGAAAACTACATTATCGGAATTGGGGTTTAGGGATTTCGGGATATTACACCATACTGGAGAACCAAATAGTACATCAAATGGACAACGAAATGGAGACTACCATAGACAGGGGATCTATTGGTAAATATTTCCCCGCCAATACTAGAGAAGCAAATGGACAGCATAAAGGACACCCAAATGGGCACTGGGATGACAAAAGGATGTACGCTTTTTAGGGTAGTGCTGTTGTTGGTTTCCCAACTTCGGAAACGTGAAACATCCAGGCCAGCCAACCACATCCATAATTTCCAAATTTTACAAAAATAATAAATTTCAAACTGAATTTTCCTTCCCTCCCCTTCACCACCCTTCCCCCCCCAGCCAATTCAGATAATATTTTTGTGCACCCCCTCCTCATCCCTCCACACCCCTCCATCTTCCCAACCGACTGTGGCGGTTCTGTGGAAAACCATGTGTGGATTTCTGAGTCTGGTCCGGTTGCCAGTATCATCTCTTCGGCTTCCGCAGGGACCTGTATAATGCCATCAATACCTTTACACTAGGTGCACTGAGCATCGTCATCGTCTTCAGGCACCCACATAGGACCTCTGCCAATGCAGCCATGCAGATGCTAGCTAGTTTTCTTGCTAGGTCAAAGGGAGCGTGGACTGGAGTCTGCAGGGCGGGTGACTATTTAGGCCTTGTCGCAGTTTCACGAGGGTGGTTTGCACCTAGAAGCTTGGCAATTATCCACATCAAGTGTTCTGCCGGAAGCCCGAAACCCTGGATCTAAAACCTCAAGCTGGGGCATTCTGCAAGAATGGCTAGCAGATGTTGGTATCAACACCGTGTTCATAGCCAGCTCCCATCTACTTCTCCTGTTAGAGATGCTGGAAGTTAAGGTGACCCTCCCAAAAGCGAAGCCAGGTCCTGAGGACCCCCGCCCTGGCGCATCTCAGGATCGAGACAGAGTTCGTTGATTACTTCCTGGAGGTGCAGGCAACCTATGGTGCTGGGGAGAGATTCTACACCGTGGAGCCAAAGATCCTAGGCGTATTGTACCGGCTGGGTCTCTGGCTTCGTCCTTTCAGAGTGGTTCTCGTACCATCTCTCGCCACAAAGGCTGCCTCCTCTCTTCCTTTCTCTCAGTGCTGTGTCTCTCTGGGTCTTCTCTGCTTTTTCTGTTTCATTGTGTCTTCTGGATCTCACCCGGCGCTTGGCTCCGTACTGCTCTTTCCGTCTCGCTCTCTTGCTGTCCCGGCCATTGGCTGAAACAGGCGCACCATCAAGCTTCGTGTGGTCTGCGAGAGTACTAAAACAGGGAAAGCGTCATGTCCTGTTTTGCCCATGGGCGATACTACTAGTATCAACAGTACAGCTAGATAGCTTTGTAGAAGACACGCCAAGGCAGTTAAATGGCATGCCAGTCCTAGTCGTGCGGGCAATGTTATTCGTCATGATAAGATCAAGATTGTAGGGCTTTCTGTTGGCTTTCACTGCCTTCGAAGCCAACATGGTCCAAGCCTAGGCCTAGGATTTAGGATGAGTGTACTTAGAGTGCTCCCTCCTTCAGGATCCCTGAATCCTTTTCAGGAGGGTTGCGGGGATTCCTTGGCAAGTTCCTAGCTCTGCCCTAGTTCTCGGCTATGCCTGAGGATCGATGACGGCCACATCGTTGCTCTCACTGAAAATGGGTACGAGGCCTAAAAGCCCAAGGATAGGCCTTACAGGGTCAAAACCAAAGATGCATCAGAGGAGATTCCCGAAGTGGGGGATGCTGATAGACCTGTGAGTCTACAAGTTGAGGGTTGCGCATGTCTTTCTGTTGTATCCTTGCCTCCATCCCGATTCTGTCGGTGTCGGGGCTTTGGATTCAGGCAGTTAGTTTCAGTTTCCTGGACCAGGGGCTGAAGGGCTGAGTTTCAGGTTCTTGGGCTCATCACAAAGCAGGCACTGCTAAGGACAGCGTGTCATTTTTTGCCCTAGCTGGATGATTGTTGCATGTCAGCTTTCTTACATACCAGGTCGGAGCTAGAAAGATCTCAACACATAGATCCGTGAGCATGCATCCCTAATCCAGGTGCCAAAAATCTAAGCTCCGCAACTTACACCCTAATGGCACCCGACAAATCCCGACACCCCCTGGCCCTAGAGGTGCTGTCCCTTACACAGGTGAAGACCTTGCACGACATGGGTCTGTCGGCAGACCTCCACTCTGCCATGCAGTTGGTGAACCGCCTGAGGCTGTGGGGAGTAAAGGGTAGGAGTAGGGTCACTGCATTTGACTTGACGAAAGAAAATTTTCTCGTGAGAAGAGATCAAGTGGCGGTGCAGCTGTGCAGATGTGAAGGGGCCGTGAATGATCAAGGTTCAACACTTAAGCCATATACCGACAGGATGTGGGGCTACACGCTCTACAGACAGAAGCCAGAGGACTCGGCTCTTGGGGTCATGACGGTTTTCCTCAATTGTGGCCTTTTTTAAGCGCTTGTACAAGAACTCCCTTTATTTGGACAAAGCTTCCGAGCGACTGCGCCACCTTAGCAGCTCCGCTTCAGCAGCAGTCCTGAACTCCAAGCCTCATACTATGAGCTATAGTCTGAACTCATTAAAAGGGTTTTTATGTAGGGGATTATATAGGGGAGTATTGGGGTTACTAGTGGGATAGTAGGAGTTGAGACTATAACTCACATCAAGTCCTTGAAGCGTCCCTCGCCTGAGCGATAGCTTGTCTGCCTAAGCTGTGGGTCCTTAGCCTGCGTGATGCAATGGAAAGGCGCATACACCAAGCTTTCTTGTATCGCTAAGAGCGGTGTGCTTGAAGACTTGGTCTGCTACACTGTTTGATGCTGCAGCCGCTGCGTGAGCCCTTGGCAGCTGAACTGGGAGGACATGTTCCCTGATCCATGGCACAGCAACACACACTGGGATAACACGATGCGGGAGAGCTTCTTCATCTTCGTCCTCAAGGCTCAACAGCTTTGTTTCACCATCTCAATTGTTCCCCACCCTCGCAGTGGGGTTGTTAGATTGTAAAGTAAATGTCGTCCTCCCCTGACTGGAAGCTGACTGTAGTGCAACCGCCAAGTATCCCTGCAGCGCCCAACCAATGAGTATCCCTGCAATGCTTAACGGATATGCCCAACTGCAAAGTATCCCTGCCGTGCCCAACCACCAAGTATCCCTGCAGTGCACAACCGCAGAGTATCCCTCCGCAGAGTATCCTCACACTGCAAAACCACCAAGTATCCCTGCAGTGCTCAAGCGCAAAGTATCCCTGCAGTGCCCAAGCGCAGAGTATCCCTGCAGTGCCCAACCGTAGAGTATCCTTACACTGCCCAACCGCAAAGTATCCCTGCAGTGCTCAACCACTAAGTATCCTTGCAGTGCCCAGCCGCAAAGTATCCCTGCAGTGCCCAACTGCAAAGTATCCCTGCAGCAGTGCCCAACTGCAGGGTATCCCTGCAGTGTCCAACCACCAAATATCCCTGCAGGGCCCAACCGAAAAGTATCGCTGCAGTGCCCAAGCGTAGAATATCCCTGGAGAGCCCAACAGCAAAGTATCAATATTCTTGCAGCTCTTTTGCAGTGCTGCAAGGAAGACAGTTGAGGGGGGGGAGCGAAACGTTACACTTCTTGTGCAACGACAGCTTTAGGGTGGGGATGCTCGAAGTAAATCTTTTTTTTTGGGGCGGGCCTGCCCTGAGCTTGACCTAAACCCTAAACCCTAAACCCTGAAGCCTGAACTCTAAACCCTAAACCCTAAACCCTAGCTCAATGTGATATTCGGTCCCTTTGCCCATCCTTAGAGGACCCGGGCCAGAGCCCTTGGAGGGGCATTTTCCAGGAATGCCTGCCATTTGAGCTATAGGCTAAACTCCTTATGGGGGGTTATATAGGGGATTTTTATAGAGCTTCTTAAGGGGGAGTATACAGGAGATCATATAGGGGAGTACTACAGGGCTTATTAAGAGGGATACTAGAAGTTTAGATAATGGCTCATGTTATGTTCTTGAGGTTGTGCTAGCCAGTCCCTGGATACCCGATATTCAAAGACGACTCTTGCGACGCCATCCCAAAATCGAAGAAGGGGCCTCCACTCCAGCAGCTAGTTACGCAGAAGTGTACATCATCGCAAGCTTGTCCGAGACTTTACGGACTCCTTCGTTGAGCCGAGCCACATCTACTTGGAAGAAGTTGTCAGGGATTTGGAAAATGACCTAGAATCTTGCCTGTTGCATAGCGTTGGATGTATGATCTGGCATGCAGGCTCCAAGCATGTAGCATACACATGTACCATAATGAACCTTCATCGAGTGCAGACCTTGGAAACCAGGGTGCCTGCTCAAAAGCTGGATGTTAGCCAGGCCCCAGAACCTGAAGCCTAATCTTGCCGAGTAGTAATCCTAACCACAGGAATAACTGGGTTGCTGTTAAGGAACCTAAATTAAGTTACCCTATTGGGGAAACCTTATTATTTATTGTAATATACCCATTATGGTAACTTAATTTAAGTTCCTTAACAGCAACCCAGATAACAGTAATGGTAATAGTAGAAACGATTTGGTGCAGGTTCCACTCAGCTTCATACGGGAGCACCCAAAGGTCGCATGAGATCCCTGTGGATACAGTCATGAGCCAGATCTTTTCTGCTGCCTTTGAATGATTGGCGCACTTCAGAACTGCTGTGCAACAGCAGGGGTAGTGAGAAGGAGAAACCTTTCACTGCATGTGGTCGGTGTTTTGAACAATTGATGACCGCACAATCTTGTAGTCGGGTGTTCATCAAGATTATGATGCCATTGAAGTTATGCATACAGGCACTGGAAGTAGCGACCATCATGCCAGCATCCAATACCAGAGAAAGTATGATTCAGACAGTGTAAGTACGAGACGGTAGGTGACAGCTGTATCGTTGAGATCAGTACTGCAGACGGACTCATGCTAACAACTGTGCCCGGAAGACTTGCATGTGTGCCTTAGAGTTCAGAACATGTGCTTCTTCCTGGACGTGACCATCATTTTGCGTGCAGGAAAAGAAAGGGAACGGGAGTCATGAAGAGGGCTCAAAGACATAATCAAAACGCGCCTTTTCCTCATGTAGTATGACAGCCGTTGTGCGAAACCAAGTTTTCCGCTTGGATCATCCCAAGTAGTTCTGCGCGTGTTATTCCGGAAGCCACTCATCCCCATCTATCAGGCCCCTGGGCTCAAGGAAGATGTTGAATTTGGAGGCCCATAGGTAGCTGAATGCAAGGTTTAATGTAGCAGAGTTTTAGGCAGAACAAATTTAGGTGAATTTGTACCCCACTTCAAATAACTTACCTCTAGTTGGCACGGAATGAAGGAATGGATCCCTATAGTGGTCTCTGTATAATCCATCATGAGAAAGCTTTTCTTTTGCACAATGCTTGTTGTGGGAATTTGCTTTGGGAAATGACTATAAGCCCCATAATCCACCTATAATCCCCTATATAATCCCAGTTTCCATTTCATTTTCCATTTTCTTTTCCATTTGATTCTCCATTATAGGGGTTATTAAGGGGGATTAATATGAATTTACAATATAGTAGTTTCCATTTTCTTTTCCATTATCCCTACAAAATCCCAATAGTATACCCTATTATAGGCTGGCAAACAACGCCAAGGTGGAGGACCCTGTCAACCCGACGAACAACGTTGGGTCCGGCTTCCCAGTTTTTCAGGGCTGTACCTACCTGGCTTCTGCTTTGTTTTAAGGGAGTACCTACAAGGTTCCTGAATTTTTTCTGTTACCTAGAATCCTAANNGGTTCCAAATCCCTTAGAGGTATGGCTAGGGCACTACACGGGGTATACGCTCCTCCTTATGAAGACACCGGCGATCAAGACACACGGGATGCCTGGTTGTTTCTCATCTAGGGTTAGGGGGTCAGGCGTGGGGCTAGATAGAATTTATGGCTTGACCTCCTGCATTCCATCATGCTCTACGAGGCACCAGGAAGAGAATAGCTGGCAGGGCCTTCAGAGTGGTAAAGACACCCAAGATTAGTGGTTGAAGACGCGCTCTCAGTAGTGACGCTTTTTGTTGTGCTACTTCCAGTTTTGGTGTTGCGGGGTTGCAGCATTTCCACTCCTCCTCCTCCGCCTTCTCCTCCTGTCCTGCTCCTCCTCCTCTTCGTGATCATTCTTTTGAGTTGGTTTTAACCTGGTGCACCTACAGCACCCTTGAGGCCCTGAAGCCCTTGGGGCCCCCAACTCCCAGCCCCAGCACCATGAAGCCTTTAGCCAGAGCCAGCGACCCCGAGGCGTAACTGCTTCCGCATTCGCCAGATCCAGCGGTCTCTAGCACGGGCCGCGGATGTGGTAGCAGCCAATGAGGCGAACCTGGGTTTAGGCCACTCGGGGGCTCAAACTAGGATAGGGGTAGAGAGTTCCACCAGTAGCCTTGGCCCTTTTGTACATAAGGTACTGTCAATGCTGGGCTTACCAGTGCCATAATGGTGGGCATAGCGGTTTCTTTGGTAATTTCGTACAGTCTAATATTTTTCCTAAAGATTAAGCCATGTCCACTGACTACAGAAGGGAATGCTGACTGTAGCACTTGACCCCTCTTTCGAAGAGCCCAATTCTTCTATGCAGCGTGCTCGCGAGCGTGATTCGAAATTCTAGGAGTCGATCTCAATGTATTTCAAAGCATTGCGAATGGAAGCTGACTTCTGACAGAGCCACTTTTATGTGAAGGTTCATGAGAAACTATATGTGGGGCTACATGTATCCTACCTACCGCAGGTTAGAACCCTAGTCGTTATCCAATCTAGACTCCGTCTAAGAAGTACAATCCAGAACTTCGAAGTGGGGGTGCCTTGTCTGGGTATTTCTGAAAATTGGATCCCCCCGCATGTTCCCAAATCATATACTTCCCATTTCTTCCCGTCATACATGCCCCAATGCAATGACCTCTTTTGAGCATCCGCCTGAACACCCCTTGACATTTCTTGTTGAGCGAGAAGAGGGCATCCTGGAAGTTTCCCTCCCGCAAATCCTAAGCTCCAAGCGCTAAGTCCTAAACCTTGACCTCTAAAACCTAGAGAAAAGGTCCGACACACAAAAAAAAGCTAGGTTCAGGGTTTAGGGACCCTAAGCCCCAAACCCAATAACTTTCAGAAGTCATCCAACGCAGCAAATTGCCAGGCAGGTGCCACACTCCGAGCTATCCTTCGGGCCGCTTTGGCAATGTCCTTTGGGCAGTGGGGGGGTATATAAGGCCATATGGGGTTTAGGGTTTAGGGTTTAGGGATCTATATGTATCTATGTAGGGATGTGCAGCGGCATATGGGTTTATAGGGGTGATAAGGGGTTGTATGGGCTATATGTTGGGCTATTCTCCCACCCAGTAATGGGTACCTTAAGGCACCATGGTAGGTATATAAAGGCCCTCTTAACTCCATAGTTGAGGGGATATTATTGCAAGGCTTTTTAGGGCCTTTTGGGTGTTTATGTACGTATTTTTTGAATGCAGGGATATGTAGGGGTTTTTGGAGATCTGGGGTTATGTGGGGTTGTATGGTATGGAGGGATGGAGATGTATGCGGGCGTGTACAGGGTTCTATGGGGATATGTACGGGTTGTATTGGAGGGGCTCATAGGGATATACAGGGGTATATATGGGGATATGTAGGGTTTAGGGTTCAAGGTTTAGGGCTTCCAAGGTTCAGGATATGGCCCCAATAATGGAGAATCAAGCGGAAGCAGACATGGAACATGAAGTAGCAACTGGGTTTACGTCCAAAAATCAGGGAGCCTTTTTGAGGGTCCCCTCATAAGGATTATACCATCTTATGGAGGGTATGGGTATTGTAGTAGCATGAAAAAGTATATAAAGTTTAGGGGATGGAGGTTCAGGGACCCTGTAGACTAATACAGAACAGTTTGTTACATTTTCGGTGGTGTCTTCCGTACGTGGCCTCCAGAATGATTGTTCTTATGCCTCAGGGAACAAGCGTGAGTCCCCTCAAGTACGCAAGTTATAACATCATGCCAGTGATGACGACACACTGCAGCAACACTGGCAGATGCCGGCAGCCTAGGTGGCGGTAGCATCAGTTTCGGAGCCATTTCTGAAGTACCATTATCTTGCAGCTGAGTTTGTGGTAAAATGGGTTCTTTGCCAACATTGGGTCCTTGCTGCGTAAGCCTGAACGGGGCGCATATAAAAGATGGCACATCAACCTGGAGCTGAAAGGGTTCCTAGATGGAAAAGAAAGTGGAAATTACTATGATAGAGTATATATTGTGGTTATAATAGGGTATATACTGGGGTTATACAGGGATAATGGAAAAGACAATGGAAACTGTTTGATCCCGCCCACCGCTAAACCCTAAAGTAAATCCTACTTGGAAGTTTGCAAGCCGGTGACATGCCAGGTGGACAGTTACGGAGAGGATGCCGGCCAGGAGGTACCTTGTGGAGTTTCTCGAGATGGGACTTTCCCACAACTAGGGGTGCTCCTTTGGGGGTCCCTATAATTGTGATTATAGTCTTTTGGGGTCTGGGTTGGGGTTCCCCCTGTCTAGGGAAACAAGCAGATTGGGGATGCCTTTTTTGACTGTTTTCATCCTGGGAGACCCTTCTTGCATGCTCAGTTGGTCTTGCTGGGCCATAAAGTCATCGTGAGAACTTGATTGCTTGATTGGGTTTAGGGTTCAGGGTAGTTTGGAGGTTAGGTTTTTGGGTTTAGGGTTTAGCTGTTTTCTTAGGCTTCATTCAATGTTCGCGCGATATGCAAGGTTTAATTTGTATGATTTCTGGGAACAGGCTCTCTTCGAGGCCTCGCCACTCCAGCTTCTGACTCCTTGCTATCCTAACATCCTCTTGTATACCATCAGTTTCTTAGTAGAAAAACCATTCTATCCTCAAAGGACAGTCGTCTTTGTAGACGCATTTTGGAGCACCTGAGTACCGCAAAAGTTTAGGGGAGTGTGGGTGTCTCTGACAACCAGGGCCCGGTCACGCCACTATGATCCCTGTTATAGGGACCTCCAAGGAGGGACTTTCAGCAGATCATGAGCGTCCTATTTTGCTGTAGACAAGCCCAGCATTTCAATTCTGTACTGGCAGACCCAGAAGCGAGGAAAGGGAGCCTTTGAAGGCGAACAAGGAAAAATGTCAGATACGCACTCGACATGGAGCGCTCGGAGATACTCTGTCTGAAGCGGGCACAGCTTTGCAAAACTTCAGCTCCACAGGCCTGACTTCCTGATCCCTGACCAACTAAAGATTTGCCAGCATCTTGACCCTTACACAGCTGTCCACAGTGGGCGGGATCAAATAGTTTCCATTTTCTTTTCCATTATCCCTATATAACCCCAATATGAGGCCGAGGCGGAGGCTGTATCCATGCGCGCCAAGCACGACCTGCAGGAGGATATTGGGTGCTTTCTTCCTTGCCCCTTTTTCCACATGTTTGCAATTGGGCAACCGGATCTTCAGATCTACAAACGAAAGAGTTTTGAGTTGACTTTGAGGTGAAATTGACAAGCTAGGAACAGTTCCCCGCCCCAAAGAAGAAATGCTGCCACGGGCCAGTGTAGTTGCATAGGGAAATCCTGATGAGTACCGCACCTTCACAGATT